TTTGAAGTTTAAGGTTTAGGGTTCATGGTTTAGGGTTTCAATCCCAGTGACCATCTGACTCAAGTCATACATAGGGTGCATCTACAGGATGTAAGGTTCGTGGGATAAGAAGGTTCAGGGCCTGCGCTGGATGGCAAAGGATCTGGGGTTCAGGCTCTGCGGGATTCAAGTTAGGAGCCGGGGGTAGCACTACGGTAGATACTAAAAATCCTGCATGACCCAAGTACTTTATACCTTGGGATTTATGGTAATATGTTATGCTAAGGTCATGCAGGATTTGTACCACCAACAATATTTCAAGTGCAATTTAAGGGTCCAAAGTCTCTCTCAGTTCCCCTCCTGCGCGGCCCTGGGAGAGGAGGATGGAAACGCCCATTAGGGTGGTTGTCAAAATGATGGTCCCTTTTTTGGATCCCTATTATAATACGGCAGCTAATATTCAGGGTACCCAAAACAGGGATCGAAATTTCGACAACCACCTAACGTACATATACATATAGCAGTTTCCATTTAATTTTCCATGTTCTCTTCCATTTGATTCTCCATTCTTGGGGGTAATATCCCTAAACCCTAAACCCTAAATAGCCCCTATATAACCCTTTAAAGGCCCTATATAACCCATATATAACCCCTTAAAGGCCCTTTGTAACATATATAACCACTGTATAACCCATTGAAGGCCACCCATTAAGATCAAAGCCTGCTTCTGAGTCTGGCGGGGGTCACGGGAGAAAAAAGCTCCACAGTTTGGGACAATTTGCCTCATTTGGGTTTAGGGTTTAGGGTGATTCTCAAAATGATGGCCCCCCCTGGATTATAGATTTTATTGCGGCACCTAATCTTTAGAGGTACCAAAATGGAACCCGAATTTGGCGAATTGTCCACTTAGTCTGCAAGGGCTTCTGCAAATGCAACTCCAGCCCGACCGAAGCCAACCACACCTACTGTGCGGAATTCGCTGAACATGTTCAACATTTGGGGGGGGGGGGGTGCGACAATTGGATATTGGGGTCTATATTAGGGTCCCCAAATTTTGGGAATGTGAAGGATGGTGAGGCTCACGCCGAGCATGGCAGGAGCAACACTCCCAGCACATGTATCAATCGTGAAGAGCGCGCACATTAACGGTACTGAAGGACGAATGGGAAGGGTCAGGGGTATTCTGAAGGCATGATCCTAGAGGGAGTCTACCGGTTCTTTGACCTGTCCGCAGACGAATATCATGTTCAACCGGTATATCTGCATGCCTTCAGTTTTCCTTGTTGAGCTTTATGGAGCCTGAAGCCGTTCAAGCCTCAAGTACGGCCCCTCCAAACTCTGGAGACACCTTCCCATATCTTCCCCTACCACATTTACATCAGGGCGGAGTATGAGGTAGCCTAGTTCCTGAAGCCTTCCAAAGCTCCTCAGGCAGAAACACCAAGACATTTATTTGAGGCGCGACCAACAAGATCTTTAACTGGCCTTTGGTTAGCTCAGAAAGGAGGAGTGGATCCTTACAGTAGCCCCCATATACCCCATTATGATCGTTTCCCCTTTCTTTTCCATTCCTTCATTCCCAGCTAACCAAAGGCCAGTTAAAGCAGAAGACATGACATGGCTCGCCTTGTCGATTCCAAGCGGGTCTTGGGTTCAGGGCTTGGGGCTTCTAAACCTCCAGGAGTTGCGTGCCCTGCTAAGGGGCCGGCCACCATAGGTCGCAAGCTCCTTTCCAAGGAAAAGCAGGGCTTGAACCCTGATTCTGCACCCGAAAAGACGTGTGAGGAGCCATGCCTCGACACCCACATTAGGGTTTAGGGTCTTTTTCAGACTAGTGGCCACAACGTGGGAATTGATAAGGGGATGAGGTTAAGGGTTCCACAATAGCAAAAACTCATAGGATTCATAACCAGGCCATTAGTTATTCCTGAGGGGGGAATAACCCAAGCTATGAGTTTACAAATCCAAGAATAGTCGCCAGATCTCAAAGGAAGGTGCTGTAGCCGCACGCGCTCAAAATTTAGAAAGTCCTCAACCCCATATATATATATATATACATATATGTATATCCCCTCAATCCCATACATATATGTATACATGTATAAAAAAATATATATATATATACAGGTTAGCTCTGTAGCACAAAACATCTCAAAGAAATGCCGTTCTGCAGAACGAAGGAGGAAAGCGCGAGCCTGCGTCCTTGGAAATCACCTTGCAAGCTCAGGCTCCCATACTACGGTGGATGCTCTAAATCCTGCATGCCCTTTAAGTATCCTAAACCTGGGTTTAGGGTTTTGGATTTGGGGTTAGTATACTAAAGTCATGCAGGCTTTTTAGCATCATGCCTTAAGTACCCTAAACCTTGGGAAATATGTGGTACTGTAGTATACTAGAGTCATGCAGGAGGATTATTTTTCATCAACAGTCCCTTAGAATGAAAAAACACCCCACTGATAAGATGCACATGTCCAAATGCATATAATGATAAAATATTGGGCAAACAAGTGGCAGACGGTTTTGGAGGAGCCCATACTGGAGTTACATAGCGACCATCGATAGGGAAAACCGCACAAGCCTAAACAGTTGCCAAAATGATTTTGGGGTCTATCTGAAGGTACCCTTTACCATAATTTTACATGGAGCCTGGGACCTTCGATTTTGTTTCAGGGCCATGCGTCCCAATCAAACCATCCCTCGATGCGGGACACCATAAGGCCTAAAAGGGTCTTTTCGCCCTAAACCCTGAACCCTAAACCCCTAAACCCCATGTATTGGGGAAGCTGAGAAATCCCGAGAGCAGCCGGGTGCATATGATGGCGATTCCTGAGAATGTGGGAAGTGGGTTTTAATATGGGTTGTTCTCAAAATTAAACTTCTGGGGCCTTTTTGGTTGTAGGTTATGTTACGGCACCTAATATTTAGGGATACCAAAATGGGGCCCTAATTTTGGGAAATATCCATATGCCTCCAATTGGTGGGAACCTCTGATGTTTTGCAGGAATTGCCTCACCTCATGTACATGCGAACCTGCTAGAGCTGCTCCAGATGGCAGATGTACATCCGGCACAGTGGAACAACATGCGACTGGCACGGTGGCCCCCCCTGAAAGACCTCTCATGTAAGTGCGAGAATGCTCATCTTCCTATTCGGCAAATTCTGGCTGCATCTCGCCTCTGCGATGATGTTGGGCATCCCTTCCCGCACGTAGGAGACCAGACTGTGCACGACGATTGGGTGCGGAAATACGGCATTTGCTGGCATGGCTGGGGCTGCAAGGTGCTCTGCTTCAACCGGCCGTGGTAGGGGCTTGGGCTTCAATGAAGAATACATAAGTGTGCATCATGGATACTGCTCGAAATGTGCGCTGCCATGAAGTCATACATGCCCTTTCAAGAAACACTGACTCAGTACTGACCCCCATCAATTGGAACTCTTCCAACTACCCACCTTCTTACTATACACATATGAGCCATAACCTAAACTCCTAGTATCCCCCTTAATATCCCCTATAGCCTCTAGTAGTCCCCTATAGAATCTCTAATACAGCCCCCCTTGAAGCTTGAAGGAGTTTAGACTATAGCTCATATAACAACCCCTCTATAGCCCCCTGGACCAAGGATCCCAGGGTCCATTTCATTTGCCCTGTTCTTTCCATTCCATTCTCCATTCCTGGAAAAACTGCAATGCACCATGTCAAATCATATGCCCAAATCCAATACTTGGAAGGTCATGGGGACTTAGTAAGTAGGTCAATAACCCCTATGACCCACATGATAACCCCAGTTATCCCTCTTATTAACCTACTTACTAAGTCCCCATGACCCTCCAAGTATACCCCCAACTTCAAGATGTCCGGCAAAATAGGGAGACCCAATGATCGTTATTATAGGGACCCCCAAAAGGTACCCCTAATTATAGGCAAGCCCCATATCCCCAACTTCAAGATCTCCAGCAAGAGGCCTGCCCACCGAGAGCCGGCTCCACTGGTCTTCAGCAGCTGTGACATCGCTGGCTCGTGCCTGCCAAGGCATTCTTACTTTTAAGTTTGGGTCCCTTTTGGGGGGCCGTTTAATAATGGGTTATATAGGGGTTATACAGGGATAATGGAACAGAAAATGAAAACTACTATTTTGGGCTATATAGGGATTATAGAGGTATTAGGGGTTATTGAGCAGACTGAAAAGACAGGCCCACATTTCCGCTTAAATGTCCCTACATGCTTTTCCAACGCGCCCTTTCCAACATTACTGTTCCGCAGCGGGCAATGAAGGGCGGCAGAAGGTGCTGCGAGAGCCGGCCTCATCGGTGCCTGCAGGCAGTATCTAAGACCACCAGCGCAACCATGAGAGGCATATAGTCCCCCTTGAGTCGATAGAATATGGCTATGGGTACATATAGCAAGATCCCCATATACCCCATGCTGTATCTACCTAAGGCGGACTATAGGCCAGTGAAGAAAGCTAGCAGGAAGCACTCACTGCGCGACGGAGCACCAGGTGCGCCCAAGCGGCCGTTCAGCACTTTCGACGCGAAACCTCCCAGCCACCGGTTGAGCAGAGGCCTCAGAGGAAAGCTCCAACAGAAATACACCCTTAATATACCATAATATACCATAATAGACTATGATATACCATAATTTGCCCTGACATACCATAGTATACCAAGATATACTACTTGCATGTAGAGGATGAACTGCCAAATCTAACAGCCTTACAATCAATGGCAACTGGCAACTGGGACTGACTATGACAACGGTTACCTGGGTTCGTGACTGGAGCTCGGGGAGGAACCGGGGGAGGAACATGCACGGATGCTCGAGCGATAGCTTTTCTATGCTTCCGCGCATGGAGCAAGAGTGCCTTTGATTTGCGCGGCCAGGATACAACCTCTCCATCTGCCTTGCCTGAGTGCAAGCTCTTAGATGGGGGGATCGAGAACACGCGAGTCAGCGTCATCAGCTCTTCTTGAAGTGGCGGTTGTCAGGGCAGCAGGTTCGTCGCTTGCATGCCAGGCTGCGTTCACTGGTCTTGCAGAACTGCTTGGTGCGCGCGCGCATACTCGGCAAAGATGCCGTCTGTCTTCTGTAGAAGCTCTGCTGGGGTGCCTTCCTCGGCAAGCTTGCCATTCTGCAGCACCAGGAGCCGGTCGGCCTTTGCCAAATTTGAAAGGCGATGAGCCACACAGATCACCGTCACACCATGCGCCTTTCGCAGCACTTCGACTTCTTCCTGCAGCTTCGCCTGGGAGATTTCATCTAGTGCTGAAGTTGCCTCGTCCAAGATAAGCAGGCGGGGCTGCTTGACAATGGCCCTTGCCAGCGCGAGCCTCTGCCGTTCCCCACCGCTCAAATCGCTCCCACCATCCCCCACATCAGTATGCCAAAGGTTGGGAAATGCTGCTTGGTTGAAGAAAGTATCCTCGCATTGGGCAGATCGCAGCGCAGCTTTGGCAAGCTCTTCACTGGGCTCATCCACTTGCGCATGCCCCGACATGTCAACGGACACGCAACCATACAGAAGGTTCTCTCGCACGGTACGACGGCATAGGACCAGGTCTTGGCTCACGAATCCGACATGGCGCCTGAGCCACAGTGGATTGTATTCCCTCAGAGCGCGGCCTCCCAGGAAAATCTCTCCGCCCGCAGGCTCGTAAAGCCGCAGCAGGAGCGACAGAATCGTCGACTTGCCAGAGCCTGTGGCTCCTCACGAAGGGGTATGGATTCTTGGCTGAGAAACGGGCATAAAGGCATCTGCAGGGAGAGTGCTTGCAATTTTGCCGCCCGAACCTAGAATGCCCAAGAACTCGCCCTCCTTGACATGGAAGGACAGGTCCGTGAGAACCGTCGCACCTTGGCGCTGCTGGTACTCGAAAGAGACTTTCCTAAACTCCACGTCCCACCGCATGTCTCCTTGGCTGCACTGAGACTCAACCCAACAAGATTGAACATGTTTGGATCATCAGTCGTCAACGCCCAAGCCGTGTGAGGCTAGACCCTGGAGCCTTGTGAAAGAAGCTGTCTTCACCCAGATCATTGCAACGCAATGTCTCAGAGTCAACATAAACTACCAACAAATCCCGAGGCAGACGAGGCAGGATGACTCTTTCTAAGTGAGGGTCTTTAGGTCTTAGGGTTCCTTGCAGGTGGCAGTAGGGAATGAAGGACTGGGCTACTGGTCTATTATACGGCCATAAGAGGGCCACCCCTCCATTCCCTACAACAAAACAATATATATATATATCCCAAAATACTAGAATCCCTACAAAAGGGACCCCCCAAATGGTACCCCTAATTTTGTGAGACCCCCATATCACTACTATGCCCTACAAACCATCTACAAGGTTCAGGGATTGAAAGTGGCACTGGAGCTGGCTACAACTCTCTGGTGCTTAGTAGGAAGTGGGGGAATGGATCCCTATAATCGTCCCTATATGAATCCCTGGACTAAATTTGTAATATATCCCTTAATGGGTCCCCCCCAAAACCCTATGTAGTCCCCCATGGGTCCCCCCGACCTAAATTTAGTCCGTAGCTCATATAATCCCCGTAATCCAGTCCCCAATTCCCTCCTAAGCACCAGGAAAACAAGCCAAGGTTCGCGGGTTTGGCATGGAGTCCAGGCCAGGGTAGTCCAGCTCCTAATGTCCATAAAGACTAGGGGGTGTTCCAAAAATTAGGGGTACCAGTTTGGGGGTCCCTATACTGCGGTTTGTAATATTTTGGGGCCTATATTGGGGTATCCCCCCATCTTGGTTGGGAAACTAATTATTCTCGCTGCACGGCTTGATAAGATCTTTGCCTCTTCTGATCATTACTCATTATGGTCAGGACGAGTACGCTGAGGCTTCTGCTTTGCTACAGGACTGCGCAAGTGAGGCGTTGCCTACTACTTGGAGGAGTACTTGAGAATTAGGATTGTCCCACGAGGGCATCACAAGCTACAGAATCACTTTCTATCTTGGCTTTGGTATTCTTGTCGCGTTTTTTGTTCTTGGTACTATTGTTATTCTTACTCTTATGATTATTACTGCTGCTACTATAACCACCACCACCACCACTACTACTGCCACCATTACTGATGAGCATGATGATGCTGATGCTGATGCTGCCAGGCCAATGCTGCTCAGGCTAATGCTTCGGCTTGAATTGTTGATGCTACTGTGCTTGACAAAGCTGCAGTGATGTTTGCAACTTGGTGATTACCATGCTGGATGTCAACTACATTAGGGGCATGTTGGCGTGGCTTTCATATTGTGCCCCAAAACTCGGCCCTTGAAGTTTCAAAGTAAGGAATCCACAAAATCAATAAAAGATGGCAGGGATCTTGGCACAGGCTGTCTGTGAACACATGACCCTGCGAAATATGATGACAGCTGTTATCACAAAACTAAGCCCAAAAGTGTGAAAGAGGAGGAAGAAAGGTCCCCAACCAAACACCAATTGAACACCTCGAAGCATAAGCATGCATTTTCCTAAGCTACACGCACGCAAGCGTCAACCTCTCCGAAACCTTGGTGAAGTCAAGGCCTCGTTCAGGTCAGCCCGTTCCAGTGCATGGCATGTACATCACATGTCGCCACCAATTCCTGATTTCGACGTGTTGGCCTCAATTCCTTTCACTGCACGCGTTCCTTGAGCTCTGTCAGGATCCCAACGCTCCGCAAGTCTTTGTCAGTTCCCCCACATGTGAGAAGCAGTGGTATTCACCCTGGACAAGGACACCGACCATTTCTCCAAATAGTCGAAGAGCTTAACGCTACAAAAAATTGTTCATTGTCACAGGCCTCCGCGCGCATTGCATTGAGGTCGGCACACCCTGTTCAGAGCTTTGTCCGTTTGATAGAAACCCAATTGAAGCCGCACAAATTCCACGTCCTTTTTACTGATCCCAAACTTTGCGACTTTCCAGAATTTGCAAACATTAGGGGCACCACAATGTAGACCCCCAAAATGCAAAAAAACTTTCTACTGGGACGCCAGAACGGAATCCCTGTTTTTCGGAAACACCCATGTGTGGCATTCCCGTGTGGAACTCAGTCACTAATAAACCCCTACATAATCCCAGTTTCCACCTTATTTTCCATTTGATTCTCCATGATTGGGGATAATATCCCTAAACCCTAAACCCTGAATCCCTCCACCCTAAAGCCTAAATCCCTAAGCCCTAAATCCCTAAAGCCATGTTGGCCCTTTCTAGTTCACAGCCAGCGTCGCAGCGTGGTCGGCGGCCTAGAAGTGCTGCCATCTGGGCCAAGGGTCCCAAAGCCTTAGAGCCACGAAGGGACATGCATAGAATTGAAGGAACATGAAAAGTAGGTGGACCCTACTTTTCAATTCAGAGGGTAGGCTTTCTTGCCTGAACCGCCCAGAGTTGGGGCCTGGGATTCAGGACAGGTGATCACTCTTTGGCTTTAGGGTTTAAGGCATCATTTCTATGAGAAGGAAGAATGCTGGTAACAACCGGAGGCGTCGCGGCCACCATATCACAAAACCAAATTCGGTAGCGGAAGGGCTGACACGCCTGGCAGTGATGTCGTCTCCGCTTTAAAGGCATGGCAGTATGCTGCTTGGCTTTTCGGTCATGAAGCCTTCTGAGCATAGTAGGGTTGGCGAGGCCCTGTGATTTTCGGGTTTTCCTTTGAGTACGGGCGTCGTTGTGGCCTGGTGGCTCTTGACAGGACATACATGCAGTAGTTCCCAGCATGCCTTGGAAGTGCCTGGCTGCATGAATGCGTCAACACAGCACAAATCCTCCAATTCCATAGGCACAGGCATTTCTGACAAGGAAAGACCTTAACTGCACCCTAGTAGCATGGGAAGACACGGAGGCAGCGGCGGCCTGCGCATACCTGCGAAGATTTTGGAATCTCAAAGATATCAAGAGATGAAATATTCGAACCAAAAATTGTAACCCAAATGGTACCCAAAATCACCACATACCTAGGCACTACAGGCCCCATAAGGTCCACTGAAACCCCAGGTTCCAAGCCGAGGTTCCAACCTAAAGGCCCTTGAAAGATCCTTGACCATCGGGGTGTCTCGGGCCCTGCTTAGACGGTCATTGGACTCAGCAAGCAGGTGAATAATGGGCATAATTGGGGTTATTATATAAGCTATAGTCTAAACTCCTAGTATCCCCCTTAATAACCCCCTATATAATCACCCATATAACCCCCCTTTAAGGAGTTTAGACAATGGCTCATATGGCTTGTAGGGGTTATTAACCTACTTACGAAGTCCCCATGACCCTTCAAGTGCCTCACCCCGTCGAAGGCGTTCTGGGCAATGAGGACTGCAGAGGAGAGCTCCCCAAACCTTCTGCTGCCAGAGATTGGCAATGTAGAATCATTTCAATTCCCAATAGGGATAATGGAAAACAAGATGGAAACTACTACATGGCTTATATAGGGTACATATTGGGGTCTGAAAAGATGCTGCAACACCTTACGTTCGATTTGACATCACAAAAACACCCCATACTTACACAATTCATACCTTCCTCCGCATCCACAAAGCACCGGCCCCAGAATACATACCCATACTTGACTAATGAAAAAATCACCAGTTGAAACCAGAGATGCTGCATCTCTCCCCGAAGCGCAAGACGGCCCCCATACCACAGGGTCCCAATCTCCAGGCCATGCTCTAGCAGCGCCTGGAGCTCCACAGCTTCAACAATCGCATGGCTGAAGCAGAAAGAAAGGCATGTTCAGGGATTTAGGGGCACGGGGTCTAGGGATACGCAACACAAGAAGAACTTGGAGACCGCGGGAGGTTAAAACAGTGATGTAATAACGATGCTTCCCGTGCGAAGCACTTGAGTGCTCAGCCACGGTCAACATACATGGTGCGTCATAGGGATCGTGCGTGCCGAACAGGCCAAGAATCAAAAGGCCCCCAAAAGGAACGGAGGTTACCGGTAGAACAATCAGGGGTGCAGGGTGGCCCATAGGCTTGTGGCTTGCAGTTGCTGCCTGCAGAGGCTGCACCAAGCGGAAGACAAGCATCTTCCGCTGCTGTAGCTGATCATGCCTGCGAACGGCTATCAACACCGTCTGAACTTGGCATTGTTCATCCCTGTTCATCAAACACCCCATGTCTGAAGGACGTACTCGGCAGAATGCAAGAAAGAAGAAAACGTGTCTGAAGAGTATCTGGATGCACGGCCAGGAAGCGTGCAAAGGTTGCAAGCTCCACAGGCTCCCTGGCAAAAGCACGCATTGTGCGCAGGGCTGGGGGCCTCACCAGCGAGGACCAGCAACTGTTGATTTGGCCTTTAAAGTCGGGCAGCGAATTCTGATCTTGAAGCCGCTCCTCGAATCTCTGTAATAGCTGGCTGAGCAGAAACCGCAGAGGTAGCATCACGATCAAGAATGCCGCCAGGCCCCGATTTTGACGGGAGAGTGCCAGAATTGCTGCAGCAAGGCGAACGGAAGCCTCAACAGCAGTGGCCGGGAAGTCCACAACTTGTGAGATGGTGGTGCCACAGCTTCCAATCATAGATCGAAGTTGCCATAGATCACACTGCTCCAAATACTCCAGGTCTTGCCGCAACAGTGCCCCAAAAAGTGCCACTTTCAGCTCCTGAATCACCTTGGACTTTCCCCGTAAGCTTAAGCGACCGCGGGCAAACTCTGCCAGCTGCAGGATCAACTCGCTCACGATCATGGCACCAACTGTCTGTCCTATGCTGGCAGGTGCTAGAGCACCCTGGCCAGGTGTGGGACCAGTCACAGCATCCTTTGCCAGGTTTATTACTGCAGCTTGGTAATGCAAGCGCATGGACGAAAAAGCCCCCAAGACCATGGAGAGCATTGAGGAAAGAAAAATGAAAGGCAGAGTACGCTTGAAGCGCCAGACTAGACCAGCAACACATTGCCACTGCGCTAGGCGCCGAAATCTGACCATGGATTCTGCATCTGCCAGTTCCTTGATATACAATTTCTGTAGCGCGTAGGAAAGCCCTGGCGGGCATCGTTTTTCGATGGTTTCCTCCAAGTCCCTGGCCTCCTCAGCGCGCCTCTGCAGAACGTCGCATTCTGCCTCTCCTTTAGTCACAGCCTCCGCATCCAGTATGCGAGGCTTGGCCAAGGACTCGGTGCTCCCTGTGACTGCCAGCCTTGCATCTGCCACCTTGCGGCGGAGCTCGCATGCCGTCAGCGCAGCAGACACCGCAAAGCCATCCAAGGCCTCAGGTGCCTGGTAGTGAGCCTTCGCCAGCTCTTCCGCTGCATCCGCAATGGACTCGGCGGTTGTTCGACACTCCAAGGCCCCAGCCTCTGTTTGCAGCTCCTGGGTTGGCACCTTCTGGAGTACCTTGCTGAGCCCCGGCACCGCCACGACCAAGCGGGCCAACGGCACTTGCTCCAAGAGGTCCTGGACCAGGGATATTGCGAAACATTTGTGTTATCTACAAGAGCTATAAGACTTTGAAAGAAACTGTAGGATGTTACCTGGTTATAACTTGGGTTATCCGAAGCCAAGTCCTGGAGCTTCGCTCGTCGCGTCTCACGCTCCTGGCGAGGGCTTGTTCCAACTGGGGCTGTGTGCTTTGGAGGAACGTGGTTAAGTTGGCACCTTTTTTGAGCCCATAGATAACATTATCAAAGCGCGACTTGGGAAAAACCAGCATCAAGCCACGGTACGCAAGCACACTATTGACGTACTCTGCCTGGAGGCTACCCAAAATCAACTACTTCTAGGCAGCAGAAGTCAGGCTAAAGCGTCCGAAGAAGCTTTTACCCCCAGATAAAAGACGATTTCATATCAGAAGGTCGTTTCCTACGTCTGCATACAGGCATTCGTGCACGTCTCCATGGCTATACGCTGTCATGTTCAGACCCACACTGCCTCCCTCTATCATACTCCCCTGTATGATCCTGATTACATGGCAAATCTGTACAAGCCCAACTTGCTGCCACATGTTCACCGTACCCTGTGTCCTTCAAGGAAGTCAGAACCCTCTGTCTTACCATCACCTCTCATGTCTCTGTTGTATGTCGAAAGGTTTCCCATGACATAGTAGCTCTTCCAAGAATCTGAGACTCGATATGGAGGTGCTTCAAGACAGCCCTTACAGCTTTTGTACCTTGTATTTTACTTGAAGCCGCCCGAAAAGTTTTTGCAAAAGCCCTAAATCCAAAACCCTATGCCACAAATACAACCCCTAAACTCAATATTACACCAAAAGACCCACTGCGTACTCCCAAGCCCCAAAACCCTAAACGACACAAAGGATTCCCAAACACGCTCGGCAAACCCTAGCCCCTCAACCTTAAGCCCCATAATCCCCAAAAGGGAGTTTCCCAGAATCAGCGTACCTTTTGGGGGGCCTCAATATAGCCATCTTGGGGTCTATGATGGGGTCCACCCCCTGTTTATAGAAACTACCAAATCGTCATGCCAACCGCAAACTCGAAAACCAAACCCCAATCCTCAGACCCTTAACCCAAAACCCTGAACCCTAAACCCTTTGCAACAGGCTTTCTGAGTCCGCCCAGACCCCTGAACCTCAAATCCTACACCCCAAACCCAAAACCCTAAAGCCTAAACCCTGAACCCCAAATCCCAAACCGCATGCCTTGGCAACCCAAGCTCGGAGTCCCTCATCTTCGAGCACGTCGCCTTCAGAGGTCCTCGCAGTCCACCTGGGTGCGATTTTCTGTGGTCTCAGGGTTAAAGCCTGAGGGTTTAAGGTTAGAGGATTGGGGGTTGAGGGTTAAACGGTGGAGGGTTTACTTTAGGGTTTAGGGTTAGAAGCTTGGGGTATAGGGTTTAGGGTTAAAGGGCTGGCGGTTTGGGCTTAAAGGGTTTATGGTTTAGGGTTGTAGGGCTTGAGTTGTAGAGCGTTTCTAGGGGCTATATAGGGGTTGTAAAAGGGATTGTAGATATGTGGGTTCGTATGGGGTTATATAGGGAGAATATAGCTTTGGGGATAGTACTCCCAAGAATGGAAAGTCAAATGGAAAAGAAAACTAAATCTAAGCTTATATAGAGGGTTAGGGTTATTGCTTAGAGGCTCCGAGGGGCTCGGGACCCTTTCAACTACTCTACCCCTGATTTTGGGAAACCCCCATTTAGCAGCAGCAAGTTGAGGGTTGGGATTGAGGAATGCATCTTTGCTTGTCTTGACCCCCAAGCTGTGTAACGTAGAGGCCTAGAGCTATATCGGCCATGGCGCATTCACAATTTCGGAATTTCCCTTTCGGGGTCCCTTGTGGGGTCCTCACTGGTGCATAAGTCTCTCTAGGCAGATTTTTCCCTCCAACAGAAGGCTCAGCTTACCCTCTGCTAAGGTGATAGCGGAGGTAGTACCTACATAGTAGGGTGATCTTACGGATCAAACTTAATTAGTTTGCGTAATGCATAGTCCTTGTAGTAACTCCATCGACAAGATCTTCGACCTCAGGAGGCTCGTGCAGCTGAATGTCACTGTGGGTAAAATTCGGCCATCCTCAAATAAGGATTATAGCATTTGGGTCCCACTACTGTTCAGCTTTGGCAGGTGGTTTGCCAGGTCCCCGCACACTAAACAAGCTAAGTTAAGGAACGGCGGTTATTACTTTGTGGGACCCTGGCGTTAGCAGTGTGTTACAAAACCTGCTTATACACGGTTACAATGGGTGATAATGGGCTTAATTAAGGTGATACAGTACGTTACCGAACTCCAGGGTGCCTGAACGTCATCCAGGCAGCCTTCACGTGGCTTTTTGAGTCTTCACAAATTCAAGGCACCGAGATTTTGGCTTGGCTGTGAAAATCGCGTGGAAAAACAGAAGATCTACATGTCTCCGATCCTCCCGCCCAGCTGTTCAATGGGCCCTAAAGCCATGAGTCCCTATACCTCATATATACCCCATCCGTACCTTTGAGGGCCTCGAGTTGCCCTTAATACTGCTAAAAAGGCTGAGGGGACTTTGAGTGACCCTGCCCTCATATTCCCTTGATAAGTCCATTATGACCTTATTGTTACCTTCTGTAAGTAAATTACCTCATCCTCTGGTAACCTCCGGGTCCTACAATGTACGCCCAACTCCTACCTCTTATAGCATAGTGGCAGAGATTGGCAGAGTTTCCATCTTCTTCCCAATTCACGACTGCACCTTTTGTTCAACCCTAAACCTCCCACAACTTGGTAACACAGTAGTTCCTAGTGTGTTTTTCCATACCCCGTTCGGTAGAGATGGCTTCCAGGCGCCGAGGCCGCCACAGAAGCAACAGTACCGCTCCAACAGCCACCACTACGGAGCCCTGACGTAGAAGAATCCTGGGCGTGGTGGCGAAGGCTTAATTGAGAATTTCGGCTCAGGACCTTTTTTTGGAGGGTTTTGGCTTTAGAGTTTAGCGTTTTGGGCGTTAGGAGTAGGATTTCAGCAGAAGAATCTTGGACCACGGCTGCTACAAATAGAAGTCCAATGACCTGGAGAGTCGATTGCAAATACTGCGCAGCAATGATACACGAAACGAGAAACTACGCCTAAACCCCAACCACCTAAACCCTGAACCCTAATAGGGTTATGAACCCTGATTTCAAGTTGTTGCAATGCCGATGGCTGGTTTGAGAGGCCTGCGGCCGGTAGGTTCGGCACCGCCCCAATCTGGAGGCAGTTGACCATTCTTACTCTACAGAATGTACTGTGGCTATATACGGATATGGGAAAAGAAAATGGAAACTGGGGATATATCGGTTTAGTAGTGAGGAACAAGGGCATATCTGTTATACAGGTGTTATATGGGGATTCTACCCTCTTATTGCCTACCATTCAGCAGTGAGTATTCGGGCATTAAAACACCTTCTTAATTGTTGACGCTAATTCACGTTTCCATCACTTGCTCATAGGCCAGAGCCTTTGATCGGTGATGGCTCCTGTGTACAGACGTTAGCAGCCTTGTTGCTTGTCTTGCTGCTTGCCGAGAGGCTGCGGAGGAGGCGGCCAGGTAGGCAAAAGTCTGGTGGGCGCCTGCCCAGCAAGGCACGTGAAATGCCTGCCCTCTGATAAGCCTTGATGACCCTGTCCCAAGAGCAACCGTGACGCATCAGCGGACGCGATGAGCTCCTTTTCCCAAAGCCCGCCACATGTCTCTGTTCCGTACTACTGGGTCACTACTGAAGATAAGATTGTGCATCACTATTCCGTGATTCGGATGTAATCAGGAGATGAGCTGCCAAAGTGCTTCTTGTAGCCGATCTTGAGGCACAGAAGCCCAACCACTATCATGTACGCGCCTATCACGAGACCTAAGCTCACCAAGCTGGAAGACAGCATGCAGAAAGTCCCCTGGAAGAGGTAGAACAGCCCACGTCCCCAGATCAGCGTCAGGCCCCTGGCCCATTCGTGCATCCACCTCTGCACTCCTTGCACCGTGTCATGCAGCTGTGCAGCGAAGTTAGCGCGAACTTCTGTGATGCAGGTGACGGCACCGAAGAAAACCATGTACGCATTCACCACATAGTAGATTGGCTGGCCAAATACATCAAACACATCCAGTACGCCGAAGATGCCGTTGACCACAATGGCAGCACCCCCAATGAAGCAAAGCACGTTGAGTCTGTATGGCGCTCGCTCAATATAGTCATCCAACTCATCGGCTAACTCTCTGATCGACTTGGAGCCTGACTGGAGGGCTGCGCTTGCCATGACGTCCTCAAGAGCCGTGGGAGCCCACAGCTCCTTCGGCACCGGCACTGGCGCAGCAGGCCCTCCGAGGCTGTGGAACCCTTCCACCCTGTGTTCTACTTCAAGCCCCTCGGCTGCAGCATGAAAAGCAGTAATCCCCTCATACTAATATTAAGTAACCCCCGCCCTAATATCAAATATGGCCCCCACATATATAAGATCTCTCCTGGGAAATAGTTGACATTAGGGGGTGGGGGCCACGTATTAAATATTAGTATGAAGGGATCAAGTGGGCAGCAACAGCGGCAAGTTGACCGCGAAGGTCTGAATTGTGCATGTTCACAGATGCCCCCAAGACTTCCCCAATAGTGGAGAAGTCAACTGGACAAGCAAATGGAAAATGAAACGGAAACTGGGGTTATATAGTTATCTAGTGGTAAATGGGGGGGGTCCATAAATCAGGGGAATATGTATTCACTTAATCCCTACTAGCCCCAGTAAGTCTATAGACCAACCTGCACGGTGCGACACACAAGACAACCTAAACCCTAAACCCTGAACCCTAAACCCTGAACCCTAAACCCTAAACCCTGAACCCTAAACCCTAAACCCTATTCCACTAGCAAGGCCAGCTCCAAGCAAAAACAGTTTGGGGTTCAGGGTCATGGGGACTTAGTAAGGAGGTTTAATAAGGGGGATAATGTGGGGCTATTATGTGGGCTATAGGGTTTACTAAACTACTTACTGAGTCCCCATGACCCTCCAATAGGGTTTCAGGTTCAGGGTTATTGTGGTTGCCCCAATAAAATTCTTGCTAAACCTTAAAATTCAAGTTTTCTCGAAAGTAGCAGAAGTGATCCTTGTTGCAGAGACCCCCACAAGGTGTCTAGAGTTCAATGCCATCAGGCACTCTAGATGTACGAGCGGATGATAGGGCCCCCTCACGAGGATTATAAATGTGCCACTGTAAGAAACTCTCATCTTGAACCAAGGCTTGAGAATTGGTGAGGTACTGCTCCAACCGGCCATGTGTTATCTTTGTTTTGAGTTTGATGTGGTATGAATAAGAAGTTTGAACCTAAGCCCTAGACCTAAATCCTTCCAAAACCCTACACTGGTACACCCTCCTGCTGCAGGCTTGTCCATTCGCCGGTTACATCCAACCCTGAGCCCCAAAAATAAGCCATAGTCTAAACCCGATTATCCCCCTTAATAACCCCTATAGTAGTCCCCTACATAATGCCTTATATAACCCCCCCTTTGAGTTTAGACTATAGCCCAAAAATAACCCGGAAGCTCCTCAGCCTGCCTGGAGCCGCTTCAGCGCCGTGCCCAGCGCACGCAGCCACTGCAACAGCTGTCGTCGCTGGCCGGCTCTCCTCGTAGTGGTCGTAAGTAATTGAAAACTGCTGCAGGGTATTGGGTTTATAGAATTATGGTTTGGCACTTAGGGTTTAGGATTGTTTAAATGGAGGAATGGATCTCTAGAGTAGCCCCCATTCAATCCCCTCTCTCTCTTTCGCGTGCTCATGGGGTCCTGTCAGAGCCAGCGCCCGTTCCTTGAACAGAGCCGACACGAATGATAAATACTACAGCGGACTAGACCTAAAAGTCATCAGGGTCACTGGAAGCTGTACACCCGGCAGGCAAAGTGCCATCCTGTGATGTAATGATAGCTTGACGAGCCCTTCTGCGTTCTTCTTTCGATTCCCTTTGTCAAGCGCAGCGTAGTGGGCCTCCCTCACGGCTTTCAAGGATGACGCAGGGATACCGGAAGGTGCAGAATGGAGACACGAACGAATGCTATGTAATCACCTATGTAATATAGTGGCTTCCAGCTTCTTTTCTCTTCCTTCATTTCTTGCATGGTCACAAGCAAACAGCAGGTCTGATGTCGGAGTGTGTTGGTTCAGGGGCTGGAGGTCTCAGCGCTTTGGAGATAGTTTTGGGTCCAAGGTTGGGCTTTAGGGTTTAAGGTTGGGTGTAAGGTCAGAGATTATAAGGCTTAAGAGTTTTGGGGTTCTGGGGTTATGTACGGTTATGTACCAGAACCTTGCCCATCTCCTCCGCCTCCTGACATTGTCTGAGTTGAGAGGTCCGGCAGCGCGGAAGCAGGAATAAACAGTAAATTCTCTCGGCCTAGAATACGTTTGCCCCAAATCCTTTCCAAGAATTCAAGCCTCTACATTATGCGGAACTACCCAGCCATGCTGAACATTCAGAACCTTTTCAAAGGTAGAGCACCTGATTACCTTGTGGGGATACACAACGTGGGACACACATTTTGGAAACAACTTGGAGGCTCATGGGGCTAAGTAAGGATTAGAAACTGGGTCATAGCCGGACAAAAGATCCAAGAGGCCTCTAACAGCAGATGAAAAGTAGTTCTTGACTTTCGTGGGTGATTCCTGCAGGACCCTAAAACTATGGCAGCGTAGTACAATTTCTTAGCATCAACAGCATGAGACCCCAGGCACCCACCAAATTTTAACCCTGAACCCTACGTGTCCAAAATGTACACCCACAGCTTCCATTTCATGTTACATCATATGTTTCATGTCATTTTCCATTTCATTCTCGGACAGTATCCGTAAAGCCCTATCTGCGGATTTTCCAAAGTTAGGGGTATCATTTTGGGGGGTCTCCTATAATCCGTGCTCTAGATAGATACAATTCTCTAGATTTAAAGAAAATTCTCGGGCCCGAAAATGGGGTTCAAAGACTATTTTAGAGGCAGAGACACTTTTTGGGCCTTAATCCCACTGGATTTAAAGAAAATTTTCCCCAAACAATAAGAAAATAAGGGTCGGATTTCAACAAGATTCAAATGGATTTTAATTGAATTTTATTGATTTTGCTTGGACCCCCTTCGGGGTTCCGTGGACGTCATTTACATTTAAAATCTCCTTCTGCCATCTGGGGCCCCTGTAATAGTAAGGCTTTTCCATTAATTAAGGGAGGGGCGCCCTTATTAATCAAGAGCACGGATTAAGTTACTTTAGTGCACAATGTACCAGGATTTAAGGGAAATCAATAACCATAATGTTGCTAACCATCCCTATAAAGCCCCTCCGTATAAACCCAGTGTCCGTCCCATTTTCCACTGTCTTTCCATTTGATTCCCCCGTCTTCCAATTACTCTATATAATACCCTTGTAACCCCACGTATATCCGAAAGCCCAAACCCAGAACCTCCAGAAATACGCCCCCCAAAAACCTCAAGGCTACATACAGGCAAGTCTCAATCTCCACTCCGGCTGCCGACGAATGCCTCTCTCCCTGGACCATAGGTTTGGGGCTTAGGTGTTTGCTTGCCACAGCTTCCTTCGATACTTGGCATCTAGGCAGAAACATGGCCACGTGGGAAGCGTTTTCAAAAGTGTGGTCAAGTGCCCGTTTGTAAATGAAGTCATTTTGCCTGCAGGGACCTGCTGAAAGTCTGTGCAGAATCAGGCTGCTAACTTACTAGTCGGAGAGGGTCGAGCGATGGGGTGCATAAGATGTGGCCACCCAATTTTGCACGCTCTTCCATCAGAAGGTCTGACACAATTTGATTATTGTGTTGTGTGATCTGTAGCCGACCACTCTCCGTTTTCGTTCTGAATAACTCTCTCGTGTGTGCTTGCAATTCTTGACAAATTTAATTTGCATTCCCAAGGTTTTCTACGGGTTTGGGATCTAGGCTTTAGCTGTCCCAGGGTTCACAGGTCCTGTTCAGGGGCTTTTGCTATGTTTTCTGTACGCGGGTATAGTATACCATGCAAGAAGGAGCAACAAAGCAGCCCTTGGGTAGTGTTGACCTTTTTTCGTAGTGCCCGCCTTTACGATTCGATGCTAGCTTACAGCAGGTCTACAATAATACCTTCAAACTTAGACCCTAAACCATAGGATTCCCCATGACTGGAGTTGCTCCAAGTGCGGCTAGCTTTCGGTACAAACAGATACATGCTTATCATGTGGTAGGTTGTCAAGATTACGGTCCCTAAACCCTAAACCGCGTTATAATATGGCCCTCAGATCTAGGATACCCAAGAAGCGACCATAATTTTGAGTACCAATCCTATGAGCCAAGGTCTAAACTCCGAGTATCCCCCTTGAAATCCTATAATAGTCCCCTATATCATCCCCTATATCACCCTTAAGGAGATTAGACTACAGTTCATATGAAGCTCTCTACAGGCAGACCCTGAGCACTATCTAGAAGGGCCCTAAAAAGGCTGCCCAAAGACTTCTTTGTAGTGCCTTTTGGGGTGGTATACCCTAAAATTGACACCTTGCCAAAACCAGAACAATTCATAGGCATTTTGGCTAGACCTCTAAAACCCCTAAACCCCAGGAGTAAGAACCCTAAACCCTAAACCCAAACGGGTTTAGGGTAGTTCTCCGGGAGCTCTTCAATTGATTGAAGGATCAGCAGCACCGAGTTTTTGAAAGGCACCTTTACAAGCTACAGTCAATATTTTTCATGTAAGTCATAGACACGGGCTCATATTTGGGAACCGTAGGCCCTATTGTAAACCCTAAAAGGGGCCCGTAGGTCTACTCTTCCTGGTTTCCTGATAACCCTAAACCCTAAACCCTATAGTCCCCCTTAAGTAGATAGTATGGGGTATGTGGGGATCTTAGTATAAGATATCCAAAGCCATGTTCTACCTACTTAAGGGGTACTGTAATCCCAGAACCCTAACCTCCTGATGGTCCCTTAGTAAGCATTGCACTGACAGTACCTCATATGAGCTGTAGTCTAACCTTCTTAAAGGGGTTACATAGGGATTATATAGGGGAGTGTTACAGGGGTTACTAAGGGGGATACTAGGAGTTTAGACTACAGCTCATATGAGCTCGAAGGGCTCCTTCTGTATAGAGTTCAGGGCTTACGGTGGTATACTACAACCCCTTCCGAGTTTAGGGGTTTTGGGTTCAGGATTTAGGGTTTAACGAACCAAAGAGGAATTGCACAAGAAGGTAAGTGAATTCCCTAATGCTCTAGTCCCTAAACCTTCACACCTCCTGAACCCCAATCACCAAGCCTTCTAACCCCTTAAATCCTGGTCCTCAAGCCTTAGCCCCTAAACCCTAAACCTTAAACCCTTAAGCAACCCTAAACCATAAATCCAAAACCCTAAACACTAAATCCCAAGCCTTAAACCCTTAACCCCGATCCCTCTCTGGGCCTCAAAAGGCATCCACTGATCTGACCGTGGCCCACGTGGTCTCCGTGTAGAAACACTACATCTGCTTCGGCCAGATGACCTTGGCGGTTCGTGGAAAGACAGCTTGGGGATTTAGGATTCTTAGTGTTTGGGGTTTAGGGACTGGGGTTCCGGGCTTAGGGTTTGGGGATGTAGGGGTTAGCGTTTGGGGATTAGGGTTTGGGGATTAAGGTTCAAGGGGCTGAGAGATGCAGATTTGGGGGTTAGGATTTTGGTGCCTTTCCAGTGCTCTGGTGTGATTGGGTGGTATACTACTGCACTCCCTAACCCACCCCAGAATCAATAAGAAACCACCCAAAAATTACATGCGAGCCTCTGAACAAGGTGTAACTTTGAGGGGCGATTGCATAACCTAAGCACTCCTGCTTTTTAGGTATAATAGCGTTGTAGTAAAGGATCCAGAACCTACAATATCTGGGTTGAGGTTTCGGGTTGAGGGTTTAAAGCGGGGGGGGGGTTGTTCCTTACACCCCGCCTAGGTACTTGGCCTACTTGCAGTAGAACTCGTCAAGGCGAATCAAGGGGGAAAGGAGGAGACTTGGACGAGTAGTCTGGCGGGGATAGTTAGGAGAACCCATGCCCTATAAACCCTAAACCCTAAACCCTAAACCCCCATAACCCCAAACTATTCCGGTGCTCTGCTTCATCGAGTATCCGAGAGTAGTCCAAACCCTGAACCCTGAACACCACCAAAACCAAAACCCTGAGCTGCAAAGCCCCTACGGTACCCCCTACAAACCCTAAACCCTAAACCCTAAACCGAGCCTACAGTACCCCGTGGAAGCCTGCTACCCCTACCATCCCGTGCCCATAATTATGGCCGTAACATCAAAATCATTCCCTAAGGGTCCAAGGACCCAAATAATGGGGCTTTAGGGCCCAAATACCATTCATATAAAAGTATTTGGGCCCTAAAACCCTATTATTTGGGTCCTTGGGCCCTTAGGGATTGTAAAGGATATTGTTATGGGCGTTGCGAGGTCAGGCAACCTCAAACACTTCAGGTTTAGGGCTTAGAGGGCTTAGGCGGTTTAGGGTTGAGGGTCTAGGGTTGAAGGTTTACCTGGACCCCAAAAGCCCAAAATCCTTTAAAACAGCCCAAAAGGCTATTACTCTACATATTTTTGGGGTTCAGGTAGGCTACCTGAACCCCCCAAAATATGTAGAATCATAGCCTTTTGGGGGTTAAGGAACCCTAAGGGTCCAAGTACCTAATAATCATATACTTACCCAAAACCTATACTATAATTACTATTACCCAAATCCCAAGTACCTAAATATTGGCTACATGGACCCTTAGGGGAAGGGTTTGGGGTTTAGGGCCAAGAGGCCGGAGCTGCCGAGCATCCTCGTAGCCTTACCTCGCCAGCGGCCTGGCCGAGTCACTCAGAGCACAATCTAGGGATTTAGGGTTTAGGGTTTAGGGTTTAGGATTTAGGGTTTAGGGATTTAGGGTTTAGGGTTTTATCCATCCTTTCCTACGTGGCACTTAGGGCCCCTACCATAAGGGTGAATGAAGCAGAAAATGGAAACTACTGTATATGAATATATATATATATAGGGGTATATAGCGATTTTATGGGGGTTTAGGGTTTAGGGCACTTAGGACTCCTACTAAGGGTTAACCCTTAGGTACCTATCATAGAAATACACAGGAATCCCAGAGGGTTTAGGGTCTAAGGTCCAAGCTAGATCCCAAGGAGATTCTCTAGGCGTTAGGGCCCAAAAGCAATGTTATTCAGGGACTTGGGGCCCCTTAGGACATATGCAGCAGGAACACAATGATGGGCCTTTTTTGTATTCCCGTTAACATACATAATATATACACACCATATAATTGAGCTTCCTAGCTTAGCTGAACAACAAAGTGGGCGTGTCTTGTTTCTGTGGAAGGAGAAGGGGGGGGGGGGGAGCACTGAAAAACACCAAACCCTTTAACCCGGAACCCGGGACCTCGACCCCAAACTCGCAACCTTAAAGCTTGGGTACTGCCCCCACCCAGTAACAGTTTATACTAGGGGTCATATTAAGGGCTATATATGACTATATTATAAATATTATCCAACTGCT